TATACAAGCTGCTCACATCTTAAACCGGAAACCGTTATCGTATGGAAAGAAATTAATACAACACGAAACAAACGAAAGAAGAAAGCTCTCTCTATGATACCTCTCTGGATAGTTGCAGAATCTCCTGCCTGTTTAACCCAGCCGTTGTTGTTTCAGTTATATATTTGTGATCAAATGCACTTTATATGTAAGGCAGGCCCAGTATCCAACATATAGTCTCTTCTGGACCCAAAAAACTGCTAATTAGCTTTCATCTCATGTGAATTTTCCTATTCCCTTCAGACTGCAAAATCAGAAGCAACACAATCAAGCTAAAAAAATTGCAGTTTGGCATCTGAATTTAAAGCAAAGAACTGAAGTTTAGAGCCATGACATCAGAAGTTTTTTTGAGAACTAACTGCCCGACTTCGAGTTTCAGGTGTCATCCTGCTGTTTCTATAATCCAATGGTTTTGACCTTGGCGCCCGACCAAGTATTCTCTGAATGAAATCCTGTTCGTGATTATAAATGCTGTATACCAGCACAACAGAAGAAGAATATGATAAGATACGCAGAGCTTTGTCAAACAATCCGTAAGCTAGAAAAGCAATCAAAGAATCAACAATAATTCCAACACAGCAATTAGAAGGTAATCCAGGCGAGATCCTTCAAGTTTTTCTCATTTTATGCTTCGTCCTGCAAGGATATACAATATGTTCCTAGAAGTTTAAAGGAATCACATCTCAATGCAACTAAGTCTTTGATCTGATGAGAACAGTCCTGAAAATATTTTGGTTTAACCGTTATACTGCTTAAATTGAGATATTTTACTCATAAACCAAGTTTAATCAAGGACTGCATTGGCTAGAAATGAAGCATATGGTCTAACTGCTGCGAGCATTACCTTAGGTGATGCCTGTTGCAGGCTGTGAAGAAGGCTACAAAACCATTTAATATGCTCCTTACAGCACGGAAAACCTGAACAGATTATGAACATAAATATCACTGACTTCATAATTGCATGCTTGTGATCAAAATGCAATCAGGAATTATAGGATGCCTTCCAACCTGAGAAAAAAGGTCATTCCAAAGTGAACGCCACATTGAAACTTTGTATGTACTGACTCTTGCATCAGAAGCTGCAGCAAGCTGGAATATTCCATTTACAAATTTCCAAAATCCCCAATCATTTCCGATATCCAGGCACAAGTGAAAGCCACAAGACCAGCTAGTGCAAGGACCATGCGAATAGGAGCATAAAGTATTTTCCCAAACAATCCAGAATATGGGAAATATAATTGAAGTTGCTGCAGCACAAAAGGCAACAAACAGATCAAGGAATTTATTCATCCTTTTAAAAATAATGGAGTCTTGATTGCAAAATAACATAACCAAAACAGCTGAGAACCCACCAATGCTCCCGATAACTGAGATAAGGCCATACAAAAATCTCTAGCAAGTCTCCCAGTACACTGCAAGACCACTCAATCACAACCCATAAAATGGAATTCAAACTCTTTCTTACTTCAATGAATATATTTCACAATGGAAGAAGAAAGCCTAAAATCTCAGCAAGCAGTTCGACCATTGGCTGTGTGAAAACTGAAAAGAAGGATCTAGTAGTGTGTGTGACCATCAGAAGCCAAGTAACAGCTTTCTCAAAGTTATGTAGAAATAGCATTGTTCCCAGGTACTTGATTCTTGAAACCATCTCCCAAGTCTCTATCCAGTCAAAAAGTGGTCCAAACAAACTAGAAGCAGTTGCCTTAAGAACAGGGACATTTTTGTACAAGTCAAAAAATCCAACGAGAACAGTGATAACTGAGATTAACACATACATAACTGAGATTAACACATACAAAGCTCTTGCCAGAGGGCACATCCAAGGACGATAAAGATGGCAAAATCCTGGATATGACTGAAGAAAGAGAACCCAAGATGGGAGCCCAGCTTCCAATAAAGTAAGCAACCGCAGGTCAGACATTAACACTTGTTTTAGTTTAAATGGCAGGTCATGATCATTGAACCTAAACAAAATCAAAACATCCCTGTATAGCTTAGGTTCATGAACATTCTCACAATCACTGGCACCAGAGCCGTCTAACAAGTCTTCATTTCCACCATGTGTTTTCTCAGCGTAACAATCAACTTCAACTCTAGTTCCAATCGACCTGATCACTCTTCTTCTTTTATAAGGCCCAGTAGGTGGAGTGAGTGGCTCACTCGTTATATTTTCTGGGGTCACAGGAAATACATCAAAACTGCCACCAAGGCAGCATGAAGAATTATCCTCAGCCCACAGATTATCATCACAAATTTTGTCATCGCCATCAATAGATGGTGTCATTGAGAAATTTTCTTCAGCATCATAAAAGGTATCTCCTGCAAATTTCAGGAAGCATTAAACAGAGTAATTGCTCATTTAGGAAAGGAAATACATAGTCCCATCAAATATAAACATAATAATTACAACAGCAACTTGTTAACATCTCAGTTAGGTTGCAACTCACCAACTGGCAAAAGATGCAACAATCCAGGGGCACATTGCTGTTGTAATGCAAGCAAAAGGTCCTATTTAATGGCCTATATAAGCTATTATTCATGAATATCATCTGAACAGTAAGAAGATGGTGGTGGTGGTGAACCAAACCATCAGAAATTTGTGACTTTATGTAATTCCCAGAGTGAGAAGAAGCATCCTACAAAGGCCAAATTCTAAAGACCAAGCATAAGACTACTGAACCCCACTGTTGACTTCACAGCCACAAATCTGAGCAAGTTACAGCCATCACA